GCAAGAGAGGATAGCACATCAATCAAACAAGAAAGGGATGGCATAAAAAGTAAGGGTCAAAGAGTGAGAAAATGCCCTTGAAAATGAAGAGTATGATAAAACAAGTGTTTATTAAAAAATCAACAGAAGGGATGCCTGAGTGTCTCAGTCAGTAGAGCATCTGACTTTGGCTCAGGTCATGATCTCACAGTTCGGTTCACGGGTTCAAGCCCTGTATCCGGCTCTGTGCTAATAGCTCATTGCCTGGAGCCTTCTTTGGATTCTGTGTCTCCTTCTCTTTCTGCCCCTCCCCCACTCTCTCTCTCTGTCACTCACTCTCTGTCTCTGTCTCTCAAAAATAAACAAACAAAAAAAATTAAAAATAAATAAATAAATAAATGTCAACAGAAAAATTAGATCTTAAAGTTGAGGATATTTCTCCTCTATCCCTAAACAAGAAAGAATAAGGATTAAACAGAAGGGGGAAAAAAGAAAACTTAGAAAATAAAGTATTTTGTCAATGATTCATTTATTGTCTCCAGGAAAAGAAAAAAAAAATTACAAGGAAGCAAAGGACATGTAGTTAAAAACACTACTTTGCTCATCTGTGGACCATGTACACATAATCATAATAATGTAGATTCTGAATATTGATTTTACCAGAGTTGTATGAAAGAGTCCATACGATTGCAGAAATTCCGTGCATAATGTCCAAGGTTGATAAATCAAGAGATATTGTAGAAGCATGGTTCGGGTCACAGGGAGAGAAATACACAGAGGAGCATCCTGGCAAGTTGAAAAGTCTTGGGGTGGTAGGTGGTATGATTATAAGCTTTATAGTATTTGACATTTAATATTTGTATTTACAAAGAATAAATACTACATTTAAAAACATAAGATACACTGATTTAAAAATGTCAACGTGATGGAGCCATTTAGTGTTCGGATAGCCACATGTGTGTTACAATCCCTGGAGGGATTTGTAGAACGAATAATGTTCGCATCAGTGGTCTTGGCTGATCAAGAAAAGATTTGACTTGGTTTTGCGTGTTCTGCTTTAGAGAAACAGATGTGACAGGGATTCTTCTCCATCAAAATGCTGTGCGCTTTAGTTATTTGGGAGAGAGCACTGATGGAGACTGATGTAGACGGTCTTCCTCTCCCAGTGTGGGGAAAAGGATTGCTTGCCTTTCTTCCTCATCTCCCAGTCAGCCTCATCCTGTGTCCAGAAGAATCGAGGGCTGACTGGCCTTAGACTGACTTGACCTGGTCCAGAGCTCTAATCTTCATCAGAAGCCACCCATCTGCCACACTCTTTTCTGCCAGGTGGGATGGACCGGCAAGCAGTTTCCTGCAAGCCCTTTATCCTCAGAAGGCTGCACTGAGGTCCGTTAGTGAAAGTCAACAGCCCCAGAGCAGGATCTTCTGTGGCAGAAACTAACCTCCCCAGGCCCAGAGGCTGCAGTGCTGAGTGGGAAGGACACAGACAGGAGAGCATTTCCTTTCCTTGTTCTAAGACTATAGAGACCTCAATGCCTTTCATTGGCTGGTATTTTCCTGGTCTCAGTAAGCAGAGACAACCAGATAAAAGTCACACTGACCAGTGGCCATGAGAGGCACTTCAGAGTTTGTTAGGATTTTAGTATATTAGAACAATTAATGTTAAATGATAACATTTTGATATGGCAATAAAAAGGTATGGGTAGCTTTCTTATATCTCTGGTTATAAGCCTTGAACAAAGCTGTTGGGAGATGTTTTTCTGCAGTGGAATTATTTGAATAACATTAAGGGCAAGTAAGTAATGTTTGAAGAAATTGGGATTTGGGAGATAATGCTGAGCCAGCCACGTATAGGAAGAGCCTTTGACATGTGGAAACAAAAGTTGCTGGAAATGGAAGAAGCCCCTGACTCAGTCCCCAGATAGATTGTGAAGATGGATAAGACAAAGGAAGGTCTTCCTCATTTCTCTCCATCTTAACCTTCCCTGCTTCCCCCCTCCTTCCTTCCTCTCCTTCCACTGCCTCCTCCTGCCTCATTCACTACTCTCCCTCCCCTCCCCCACTTACTGCAACTACTTTGGAAGTCTTACTGTGTGCCTGGCACTGGACCGCATGTGTTTTAATAATGACATCTAGGATTTAATAATTTCAGTAATATATGAGTTCTAATAATTCAATAATATTTGCACCATTATGCATATCCAAAAACTGGAGCTTAGAATGATTAAGTAACTTGCCTAGAGTCGCCCAACAGGCTAGTGGTAGAGTGGGGAGAGTAAACTAGGCAGGCTGACTCCACGGCTTCTGCTGCCTGTCCAGCACATCATGAGCACACAGTTCTGTTAGCCGTGAGCATACTGGTCATACCCACGTTGATGGTAGAGAATGCACAGAATGAACCACAGAGCAGTGAAGTGATTCGCTCAAGGTCACACATCGGTCAGTGGCAACAGAATATATCCTGCTCTCTCCCTCCCTGGAGCTCCTCTCTCCAGCGCCAGCTTGCTGAATATAAGAAGAATTAGTACATTAACTTCTAGAAACATGTAACTTCCTGACTGGGTTCCAGGTTCTGAATCCTCACATTACTTGAACTGATTTTCAGTTTTAAGTAGAACTGTTTAGTACTGCCAAAAGTGATGCCAAAGAATCTATTTGAGGCTAATATTTGTTACCTAATGGACAGCAGATAGAAGCCTATGACAATATTACATTTCTTCTTCTCTTACCTAATCAAAAAATAAAACAAAGCCAAAAGTTTACCATCAGGCAGAATTTTAATTTTAAGCCATTATAGGGGATTCCAATGAATCAGTGTTTGCCCTGATGAAACAGAAGGTATACCATTCTGGGGTGCCTGGGTGGCTCAGTCACTTAAGTGTTACATTGGATCAGGTCATGATCTCATGGTTCTTGAATCTGACCTCACATTGGGCTCAAGGCTGATAGCTCAGAGCCTGGAGCCTGCTTCAGAATCTGTGTCTCCTCTCTCTGACCCTTCCCAACTCCCTCCCTCTCTCTCTCAAAAATAAATAAAAATTTTAAAAGTTAAAAAAAAAAATAAGGTAAACCATTCTTTCCTCAGGACCTGAGGAAATAATCACTCTAGGTAGTGATTATCCATTTTAGAAGTTCACCTTGGGCTGGAGCTGCTGGCCTAGTGTGGAGGAGAGAGATGACGACTCCTACTTCATCAGGGCAATCACTGAGTCACTGGAATCCCACACAAAGGCTTGGGTGAGAGAGACCATGACTCCAAATCTTCAGTCTGTGGAAAGAATGCCTTCATGGCGGCTGCCTGTCAGCGCTGTCCAGCACTCTGCCACTTTTGGGTGCGAGGCTGGGCTCATGAATCTTCTTCGACACCCTGCCAGCTTTAGAAGGAAAATGACATCAGACAGTCATCCCACAACCTTTCTACCTCCTTGACCTCCTTTTTTCATTTTACCTTGGTGAAACCTATCTATAGTCTTTTCAAGTCTCAGCTTAAGCATTAACAAACAGATTTGTTTCCCACTCAATACCCTAAAGCCATGAATACTCTTACCATTCAGGAAAGTTCCCCAGGCTTTGTCTGCTGCTCCTTAATCATCTGTATTGTTCTCGGCCTGGTATTGTTTGTGTGTCTGTCTTATTGTGCCTATTAGAACCTAAGATTTTTAAAAGTAAAGAGGAGTCTTGTTTATCTTTGCTTTCCACACAGCTCCTGGGACAATGTTTCTTTGGGGTTTGGGACTCCATGCATAGTGGTATTCTAGAATTTTCAGGCAGATAAACGCCATGTGATAACAAAGATTTGGAACGATGAGAATAACTACACACATCCTTTTTTTAATAATGACTATCTGGACACTGACATGTTCTGGCAGCAATTCATATTTTAGTTTATGGCTTTAGTTTACTCCAGGAAAGAGAAAACATCTGAGCCAGAGGTTGACAAACTATGGCCTGTGGGCTGAATCTGGCCCTCTGCCTGTTCTCCTATGGCCAATGAAATAAGAAAAGTTTGTACATCTTTAAGTGATTAGGGTAGAAAAGTAAGAACAATATTTATGACACAGTAAGATTATGTTAAATTTAAAATTATTTGGAATTCAAATATCACTGTGCATGAATAAAGGTTTACTGGAGGACAGCCATACCCATTTGTCTGTGTGCTGTCTATGGCTGTTTTGCACCAAAACAGCAGTTAGCAGTTGAGTAGTGACCACAGAGGCCATACATCTCACAAAACCTGAAATATTTACCATCGGACCCTTTGTAGAAAAAGTGTGCCAGCCCCTATTTTGAATTCTTCTCAGAAATGTCTTCCACAGTGTGGAAATGGATGAGGGTGCCCATTTTGACAAAGGGAAAATTGGATGAACGCACTGAATATCTCAAGGACAAGAAACTTGGAAACAAGAGGAGGCAGAGGCCTGTGTGGAGAAGCCCCATCTCCTGGGCCTGGGATACATATATGCCAAACATCTCCACAGAGAGAGTGTTTCAGTCTGAATTACACCTGGCTTCCCACTGCAGGTGGACATGCCAGAGGGCTGACCTCAGGTATTTTATACAAGCTTTCTGCTCTCCACTAAGGACTCTTTATGGTTCTTTTGAAGAAATTATAAACTAGAAAGGGTGAGATTAGGAGACTACCAATCATTCCTGATCATTCTATGTACCAAGGGTAACTAACACCTATAGGAAGATCTAAAGGATTCTTTATCTCCAGGTTATCTCTGAGTCGACTGTGTGTGTGTGTGTGTGTGTGTGTGTGTGTGTGTGTGTGTGGTTTTGTGTGAGGGGGGGAATCTATTTTGAGTGTGTGTGGTCTCTGTGGGTCTCTTTGGAAGAAACCCATTTTGGATGAATGCCAGTTAATTATGTGGGGATCATTAAACATTTGGAATATTCAAATAAATATACATCAGTTAGAACTTAGTGAAAGCCAGCTCAGGTCCTTGGAGAGTTGTGATTACAGTTTTTTGTTTAGAAATCTGACATTTTCATGTGTTTCTCTTGTTTTCTTATTACAGGGTAATGCCCTGTACTTCAAATCAGCCAGAAATGTTACAGTGAACATTCTCAATGACCAGACTAAAGTGCTAACTCAGCTGATAACAGGTAAGACAATAAAGAACTCAGTAGTGCCTGGTTCACACTAAGGACTCAGAAAATATTAGAACCAAAGATTGAATGAAATATCACATAAAGTAAAGAAAGAAATGTCTGCTAAGACATATTCCATTGAGGAGAAAGAGAAGGTAGCATGTGTTCCATGATTCTACTAACGGGTAGAGTCTCATCATATGCACACATTTAACTTATGCAAATCCAACAATACTTGCTTAGAGGGGCAATAAACTATTTTTCATGTAACATGGCCCCTAAACATAAGCCAGCTGCTTCATCTGGTGCTCAGCAACAGAAAAGCTCTCTGCTCCGATGCTGGAGGAAAAACTAGCTGTGTTGGATTAATTGAGAGAGAGCACAATATACAAAAAAACCATGCACACATACTTTATGGGGCATAAAAGGGATTTTTAAAGTTAATTTGAATCCATGCCATGTTCGTGATACGTGCTGACTTTGAGCCTTACCCAAGTGCAAAATGCCAACGTGCTACCACTGATTATGTTTGTGTCATTCCTTTCAATGTAGCAGATCTGCTCCTAACAGTTGTGGAAAGCACCCACTGGGCTTTAAGCTGTGTATTCCTAAAATTTAAACAAAGATTGGTTATCCACTATAATGATTATAATGATAAACGTGGGCTTTATGGTCATGGTAATGCGTTGAGTGGTATGACCAATGCCCCCAGTGTAGGTTATGAGCCACAGTAAACAGGACCCATTATGCACCCAACAGTGGATGGGGACAAGGGGTACGTGTCTGAATGGCATTGCTATACTTCCAGAGAGAAAAATGCCATTTGTTTGGCTTCAGGGCTGAGAGAGAAGTATACAGATGGACATTTTGAGGAGCCAGTTGCCCGAATGCCCTGAAACATAAACTGTGACTCAAACATCTGGAGCCCCACTAATAAACATGCCACAGGGAAACAGGTGCTCTGTGCCCAAAGCCTTGCTGGGGAGAGTGTCTCTGTCCCCTACAGGAGCACCACATCCAATGTCTGGAGATTCACAACCAATGGGTGAATTGGACCATCCACCAAAGCTGGAAGGAATTGTGGCACAGCAGAGCCCATAATCCATAAACATGTTGTTCCAGTGTGTGACTGGATTGTCGGCATTGCTTATATAACATCTGGCGTGCAGTCACAATGCTAAATAATTAAATAAACAGCTTCAGTAAGCAATGATTTAAGCAGCATGTGTGAAAATTGCCTCCAGGAGGGAAATAAATCCAACCTCCCGTTCCTGATTTCTCTGTTCAAAAGGAACCAATTTAGCCTGTTGATCATTGGCCATTTATTTGCCATGGGAGATTTGGTTTACTGGAGAGATTTTGTTTTGATAAAGCTGGAAGTGCCCAAATGACTATTCTTCAGTCAGTGTCTCTTCCCCTCCCTCTCCCTCCCAACCTTCTCCTTTCCCTTCTTTCCCCCTAATTCCTCTCCTTTCCTCCCCTTCCTCTCCCAACCTCTGTCTCCTCTTCCCCACCCTCCCTTTCCATCCTTCTCCCCTGTCTCCCTTCTCTCTCCTTACCCTTTCTCTTCTTTCTTTCTACCCCTGTCTTTCCCTCCCCTTATGCCTCCTCCATCTCTCCATTCTCTCCCTCCCTTTTTCTCTCCTGTTTGCTCTTCTCTCCCTCCTTCCTTGTCTTCTGTCTTCCCATGTTCCCTGCCAAAGTTAGGCCCTCCTGGGAGCTGAAACACCTATCCAGAGCTCTCAGAGCAAGGCATGGCTTAGCTCATGTTATAATGAGATGGGCAAAAAGCCACTCTAACACCAGCTGGCAGGAACCTTCCAAGATGATCCCTAGAAAGGATGATAGATGTATTTGAATATAATTCTGAGTACGTATACATATGCACATTCACCCTTAAAGTTTTCCTTCAGGCTTCTCCTTTTACATTTAAGAACATGGTAGAAAGCGCAGAGCCGTTCCAGGAGACAGGATCTTTTAAAGCCTCTTATACTTGCTGCTATACTTACCCAAGAGCAAGTGACTGCTCTCTTCCAAGTAGCCAGGTTCGCTAAAGCAGTTCTGAAGATCAAGAATTCTCCTGCTTACCTCAAAAGATCTCAAAAGCGCAGAGGAAATTCCAATGTTAGCCATTCAGGTAAATTTTTCATGGGAAAGAGAGCTTTAAGTGCTAGTTAAGTTCCCAGGCGAAGCTGTAAAAGCACATCTGGCCATCCCTGCTGCTGATTTAGTGTCCTCTCAGTGGTGGCCTGAACAGCAAGCCCCATGGCCTGCAAGGAGGAAGGTTGTAGGCAAGTCTTGCACAGAGTGGGGAACAGTCTCCACATCAAGAGAACTGAGGATAGGGATTAGGCAGGATGGCCCCTTTCCGGTTCCCGGATCCGTGGCATTGGCGTGACTGGGAGACCGCTGGTGTGTCCTGATGGGTTCCAGTTCTTCCTGTGTAGAAGATCCAGAAAGGAAGTACTTGACATATACTACCATGCCCTGAAGGAGATTAACTGAAGAGTCGTTTCAGGTTACAAATAATGATTTTTTCCCATCCCAGAGTGGGTTCCCTGTTGGACCTCCTGAGCAGTCTCCAGACCTGTTTCCCATTTTCATTTCCCTCCAGGACTTTTTTTTTTTTTTTTTAAGATTTCAGCCGCATCCAGGACATTTGGCAGCCCTAAGTAAAATCAACAAAAGGACAAGCCATCTGCACCACTGAGCCAGTAGTTGCTCTGTGGGGTTTTGGCTAAAACTTCGAACTACAGAGCTTTATATGTGCAAATGGTTCTGGCCCTTGGTAAATTCCTTTTTTTGTTCTGAGAAGCCCTGAAAAGCAAGATAACTTAATTGTGTTTCAAGTTATCTGATTGTTTCAGTGTTTTTGGGACATTCTCTTGTATGTTTCACAAGCCAGTCATAAGTTCAAAGCGAACTTGCTTTACACAGGCAGTTGTTTTCGACTCCTCCAGGGCCATAGCTCATGAAATCGCCCAGATCCTTTGGAGGCAAAGGCCAAGCAATTTTGTCTCCTAGTCATAACCCCGTTTTGCCATTGACTAAATCCAGAGTGTCAAACTGTACTCACCCATGCCTATCCCAAGCTCATTCATTCACTTATTAACACTTCTTCACCTCTTGATCTCCAGCACCCCCGCTAAAGGGTTTGACCAGAGAGTCTTTGGTATGACCAAGACGATAGCTGCGCTTTAGCCCTCCAAGAATCACCTAATTCAAAGCCCTCACTGTCCGTCCCATTTCTTCAGGATTGTTCCCTGGTCCTTATCTATAGCTTTCGACTTCTCCTGTCCCTATCCTCCAAAAGTTACCCTCCTCACTGCTCCTCCTGTGTTGACTCCAGCCATCTTCTCCTCTCCAGACAAACACACATCCCTTTTCTTCTATGGAACAATTCAGAGATCTTGGTTGCAGACGCAGAGCTACCATTAGCTGACCTCATGACCTTGAGAGAGCCCTTAGCTCTGCTGCCGCCTAGTTTCACCTATAGCATGAGGGCAGTTGGAGAAGATAATGCCTTGGTCCCATGCCATTTAGAAAGTCTCTGCTGTGTCTGCTATTTTAATTTCTTACTCATTCAGGAGCTTTTCCAGTGTCCTTCTTTTTGTCAGAGGGCTGGTATAGATGTACTACTGGGAGATCAGGGCTGCCACATTGGCAGGATTATGTGAATGAGGCAAGTGCACTAAGAGGTGATTGTCATTAATTATTTTCAATGTGTTGGGACCATTGCATTAGAAACGTGGGGACGGGTCATGATCACAATGATGATAGTCATGAGAGCCGTCCCACTCAATTTCACAGCACTTTGCCACCTACAGAGTTCTCTTTATAAACATAGTATAATTTGATCCTTTTAATCTTTCTATAAGGTAATAGAATAAGATGGTGATAGTACAATTCTACAGATGCAGAAAATGAGGTTCAGAAAGACCAGAGGATTTTCCCCAAGTCACATTACCAGAAAACGAGAAATTTGGGACATAATTCTTGTCTTCTGATTCTTAGGCTAATAGTCTTGTCTATGAGGAAGACAGTCCTAGATGTCCCGGAGTAGGTCTGACACTATAAGCCAAGCCTCTACGTTCTTCTGTTTGAACATAATCCATTTCGCAGAACATTAGCACCAGACAAGGCAGTGTGGTGCTCATGAAGGATCAAGACAAAACAGAAAACAATGACAACTCTAATCATGTCTGAAAACAGATAAAAACGGAAGCACCTATCCAAACCACCAAAGTGATTGAACTTCCTTCAATCCTGGTTAATATCAGGGACATCTGTTTTTAATCCATTTCAGTTTCAGCATTGCTCTGATCTTCTCCACTTCTAGATAAGATTTCTTAGCATGCCAATTGTAAAATTACTCCCACTCCCTGCCAGCACTTAATCCAGAGCAAAGCCTTGCTTCCTTAAACCCAGCCCCAAAATAACTTAACATAAAACCAAATACTATAATAAGGTCTTTCTTACTGAGATATTCTGAGTGGTTGCCCCGGTGTGTTCTCTATCACAACAATGAATAATAAATTCAACTTGTTCACCTACACGTGGTGTGTACCCAGAAGCCATTGAGGGCCCTTTCATTATTGCTTTTTATAGTTAAATGACACTGTCCTGAAAAATAACTTGAAACAGAAAAGCTCGATCAGAATCCCCTGAGCAGTTTTCGAAAAATATAAGATTTCTATACTCTATCCTCAATTTTTTTCTTTATGAATTTCTGGACCAAAAGATACTTTCTTTTTGATCTGAGCAAGGCTCAGTGAAGATGATTATACCCCCAGGTTGTTCTGATGCATTTCTGCAGACCAACTTTTGAGAGCCACCTGAACTTGAGATATCCAGGTAGCTCTAGCTCAGATAAACTGAAATGCCTCCTGTTTGTTTTTTTAAGGAATTCTAACGCATTGGTTTCTTTTTTGTTTTCCATGGTACCCAAAACTCTGCAGTTTTCTGATTTAGTAATAAATACTTAAACTTCTATTTGGGTCCATCAGAAGATGCCACTACAATAGTCCCCCTTCACGGATGGCATCTGTTGCTATATGATAAATCCTCCTAAAATTTATTTTTTATTGAATTAAATTCTAGCATAAAAGATTCAACAACCTTCTGGCAATTAACTGCAATATATTATAGCCTTTTCTGCCAGGAAATGATCTATACACTGAGGAAATAGACTTGTCTGGTATCAAATACAGCCACTGGTTTAAGGGTACCGATTGAGACAGACTTCAACTGAATTTAAAGGCACCCTTTCCAAGAGTTAGAGCTGGCCAAAGACATTCCGATTACTTCAAGAGGTGGTGAGCTTTCTATGCCTTGATACTTTCAAATCAAAATCCACAAGTATTTGACAGTAATTTGGTGGTTAGCTAAGGGAAATCTCACTCAAACATTAATTTGAAGGGATATGAGAGTCTTTAAAATCAGCCTGAGAGCACATAATTAAAAGCAATTGACAAGACATGGCCAGAGTCACAAGGCTAATTTTCATGGTTGGCTTGTGAAAAACAATCCACTTATATTAAAGTCCAACAGACTCTCATCAGATGTATGTGTCCTGTGTAATGCTCTTTGTAATTGAATGCAATGAGACTAGTGTATCTCTCTCTCTCTCTCTCGCTCTCTCTCTCTGTCTCTTTCCCCCTCCTAGGTCCAAAAGCCGTAGAAGCTTATGGCAAAAAGTTTGAAGTAAAGACTGTTTCTGGAAAATTGCTCTTTTCTGCAGATAACAATGAAGTGGTGGTAGGAGCTGAGAGATTAAGAGTTTTAGGTAAGGAAACTTTAATCATTTAATTGATTTGATACTAATGTATATATTTTAAAGGGAAAAGGGAAGTGTTGCCTTGTAGAGAGATTTAGGCCAATTACCTGGATTCTCTTAAAGCAAGGTAGATGAGCCCTCCCACCCCCTACCTCAGAACTTGGTACCCCAGTGAAAATTTCTCAAGTCACGAGTTTTTGTGGCATGACAACCCACACTGAGCTTCAGGTGGGGAAGTGTGTTCCTGCCAACAAATATGGTAGAGCATATCCTCTCCTCACAGACTGGCAGTCTTGACAGAAGTGGTCAACACCTACTTACATGATACAGAGAGTCCTAATCTGGGTTATAAATTAAAAATCACCTAGGGAACTTCTGAAAAGTTCAGGTTCATAGATCCACCTGTGACTTGCTGAATTAGATGTTTGGGTGGAAAGACCCAAGAATTCATTTGTGAAAACATTTGCAGGAATATCTATGGTGCCACTGTTGGAATCACTGGATTTGAGCACACCACAAATTAGTCTCCTGTAGCTACATAGTGAAACGGTCTAGTATGGTGGTTTCCGAGGACTGGTGCTAGAGCTTATCTGTCTCTTATCCCTGCTCTGTCACCAATTAGTTGTGTGACTTTGGACAAAGTATTGGCATCACTGAGCTGGTTTTCCTTCCTGCTCAGTAAAGCTAAGAACATCTACCATCTAAAGTTGTGCTTGGGGCTCAATGAGTTCAAGTATTTTGAATTCAGCATGCTTCACATTAAAGCACTGTATTGCTACCTCCTCAAATTTGTCCCAATTTCAGATAAGTACACTAAGGCTTAAAACAGTAAAGAAAATGTCTTAAGATTGAGCTACCACTTTGAAATCCTTACCCATGGTCTCCAGACTCAGTGCACCTAAATGCACATAAATATGTTCCAAGACCTTGGCCAACCCTTAGAATTAATGGTTTTCTCTATTATTTGTAGAAATAGCACTTTCCACATGAGTTCTAGCTTTTAGGGAGTGGCAGAGGAAACAAACACAAAACCTCAGGCTCTCCTTTTGTTAATACTTAGCTATACCAGCTATAAAATAACCGCCCAGGGGGAAAAGTGATGATATCTCATGCTAACATCATTTTGTACAAATGGAGTTTGGTACTTCCCATTAGTTCTTCAGCACTTTGTGGGTCACCTCACTTCTTTCAAATATGAATCTGCAAAGATTCAGGATAATTTTAGATGCCCACATACTTTGGTTTCATCTTCCTGTGCAAAACTCTGGGATGGTACCATTTAAGAATGTTCCCCTTCCCCATCCTACCGTTAAGTAGAACTAGAGATTATTGTAATTTTTGGTCATTTGAAGGCAGGTGGATATTTTGTTGTGTTGTCATTGCTTACGCTTGTGATATTTTACTTAGAAAACAATTTAGGACAAGATCTGCCTCTCTCCATCATTAGAAAGATTTGCTTTTTCATGTTAAAATGTAGAAAGGAAGTATCATAATAAATACCACTGCTGCTATCAATGCGAAAAAGATTAGGAAATGACCACCCCACAAATCTCACATCAACCTACTCAGTGAAATGAGCCTAGTGTGTTGCAGAAATGAGCTTCCTGTCAGCTGGGATTCAGCCATATGGTGTGGAATGCGAAGTTTAGGCAATTTCATTTTCAGCTTAATGAGAAGTTTGTCTTTTTGAGTCATCAGACTGAGCAAGCTCTCAGGAGCTTTGAATCTGCTTGCGTTATTTCATGGTGGAGTCTAATGTAGCTGGATTTGAATCCTTGCTCAAACATTTAGGATCAGAGCGACCTTACCCAAGGCTGTTTTTCTCCCTAAGATTTAATTTCCACAAATAAAAAACAAAGAGAGTGGAGGGACGCCTGGATGGTTCAGTCAGTTAAGTGTCCGACTTTGGCTCAAGTCATGATCTCAGAGTTCTTGAGTTCAACTCCCACACAGACTCTGTGCTGAGAGCCCAAAGCCTGGAGCCTGCTTCAGATTCTGTCTCTGGCTGTCTCTTCTCCTCCCCGGCTCATGCTCTCTCTCTCTCTCATAAATAAACATTTAAAAATAAATTTAAAACAGAGTGGAATAAAATAAAGACTAGAAGGATAAATGAATATAATAAGAAACATATGCAAATAAATCAGTTATTTCTACTGATAGTCGAGTAGGAATAGCAATAGAAAATAATAAGGAATAAGCCTAAAAAGATCATGCCTCCTGAATATAGAAACTTAACTCTGTTGTATAAATTCTTCTCTGGATAATCCCACCCACCTTCCAGTTTTTAGGACAGTGACTTCCTCAAGCACACTCAGAGGACCCTGAATACTTTGACAAAGGGACTAGAAGCCCTGCCTCATACAGAATACTTATCCCAGGAGAGATATGGCGGCTATCATTGTACACAGATTGTAATTGCTGATGCACATCTTTCCTGAGGAAAAGAGAGAAGGCAAGAGCCACATAGACAGGTGGCTGAGAGCATAGGTTTCATAGTTTACACTGGCCAGTAATCCTGGTTTCTATCATTCATCAGCTGAGGCCGTATGATGTCACTTCACCTTTCGAGGCATCCTCCTCTGTGACATAGCATCCTAATGCTAGGCTGTCATGGTATTTGGGAGAACGGGATGGTACAGTGTTTGTCGGGTGAATAGCACAGTGGGTGGCACATGGTAAACCCTCAGTATGTGTGAACCATCATGTTGGTGATGATTTCAGTTGGTCCACTTGGATTTCAGGGGACGCATCACATTCTAAAATTATGCAGCCCTCTCTGTTCATGAAAGAAGATAGTCAAAGAAATTGGCAGAGAAATTCTAGAAGTATCCATTTTTCAGTTAAGTTTGGACTAGTGGATTTCCTGGACATAGGAAGGGCCAGAATAGAAAGAGCCTTTAAGCGCTAAGAAGTACTCCACTCCCCACTTGACCCAAGTGCACATGAGGCTAATCTAACTAGCATGTGTATTCTCGAGTTGGATTTAAGTGATGGAGAGGTTGGAGGCCTGGGCTGGATTGCCACATTTGCAGAGTCTCTTCCTCTACTCACAAAGACAGTGATTCTGAAAGTGTGGGTCCCTGAATCAGAAGCATCAGCTATAGTGTACTTGTTAGGCTTGCAGATTCTCAAGCCCCACTCAGACCTACTGAACCAGAAACTCAGGAGTGGGGCCTGGCAAGCCTTCCAGGTGGCTCTGATGCATGCTAATGTTCTAGAACCATGACCTAAGACATTCCCAACTTTGCCATCACTTTGAGTTTAGACTCAGCTTTGATCACTTTTCTCCAGAAAAACCACAATATGGATATAACTAACACATGTTAAGGTCTGTGCAAAATATCAAGCTAATTATCATGAATAAACACATTTGCTTCTCACAACAATCTTCAAAGAAGGCACTGGCTTATCACCTTGATGTGCAGAGGAACAAACTGAGGCACAGAGTGATGTAAAACTTGCCCAAAATTCCACATAGAGAAACTGAGGGAGTCAGGATCCGAATCCAAACAGTCTTCCCACTACACGTGTGACTTCTATCCCAATAGGCTGCACCTTCTCTGAGCGCCATAGCACACTGGCACCACAAGGAGAGGGAAGGAAAACCAGGCAATTCTTTTCCTATTATTCATCCCTCTTTGGCTTCTGGATAGTCTGCTGTTCCCACCATTCTCCCAGGTCTCTGACTTTTCCTCTGCTTCCCTCACTGACCCTTCTTTCATCTGGTAAGTAGCATGGACTCACACTTGGCATCAGGTATAGACTCCCTCCAAGCTCAGTCCTGGTTTTCCTCTTTTCACATTTCTGTGGGAAATCCCACACTTCTATATGGCTTCAACATTTGCTTCTTTTCAGATGACCCTTTCAGTCAGTATTCGCTTTGAACTGCCTTCTCAATTCTAAATCCAAATTCCCAGCAGTTAGCCTGCATTTTTCTGCAGAAAGGTCTTTCTAGCACTTCTCCTTCTGTAGCTGAACTTGGGTGTCCTCCAACAAACTCCCTGACCCTCCAGAGCCCACTTCCCTAATTCTGCCGATAGGGGCTGTTGATCTCCTAGATTAGGAGTCTCCTGGTTTCCTGATCTTCTAGTCCCTATGAAGGTACCAGGCCCTGTCTCTCTTTATATGGTCATGATATCTTTGTCACCCTTGGGTTTTCCATACTGCAAAGTTATCTCTTTAGGCTTGACATGGGAGAATTCAGGATTGTAGTCAAGCCCGTCTGCTTAATTACCAAAAAGGTGTAAGTCAGTGTGCATGATAAGGCATGATATTATTCAGTTTTAATTACAGAATAAAGTTATTAAATGCTGGATAGGAATAGTCTTTAAAAAGCACCAAGAAAATAGGCAGCATAAAAGCCAGTGCATCTAAGAGGCATCTTCTTGGAGACACGAGGGAAAAATAATTTTGATTTTCATTAATGACCAATTTCATTGAACAATGAATCGGACATTCTAACATTTATAAACAAAGCATAATTATAAAGTGTTATTCTAATTGTTAATTAGGTCTGTACTCTAGATTAGTTTTTTAAATATGTCCTCTAGATGCTACTTGATGCTAATTATCTGAGTTACATTATTATCAACTGAAAAACATTTTTAATTAATTCTAAAGCCATTTAAATTAGCAGAAGATTTATAGAAATTTAAATGTAGTGTGATGCTAATTTTTTAAGGAAGACATCAGATGATACATTTAGCCTTTTGAATTAGTTTTTGATGAAACTTTCTACTGCAACCTGGCAATGAATAAATATGATGAAAGGAGTGCAGTATTCTTAGTGGTGGTCATTCATTAAATAGATGTGTGTGTGTGTGTGTGTGTGTGTGTGTGTGTGTGTGTGTGTGTGTGTGTGTGAGAGAGAGAGAGAGAGAGAGAGAGAGAGATTCACTTCTAGACCTGAATCTCTAAATCACAACTGTTGACATCACGGAGATACAGAAATGTGTGTCCCTGTCCCTGCTCTCTCAGCGAGCTCCGTCTCTTCAGGGAGATGAGACACA